TCTTATCTAACTTTTGTTGTAGTAATTAAAATTTTATGAAAATTTATATCTGATCTACATTTATATAGTACTATTTACAGTAAAATTTTCAAGACTCTAGCATTTTGATTTAAAAAGTTAAGAGAGGTGGGCTACTTATGATTCCTACTGTAGAAGAGTTTGGTGAAGAAGAAGAAGAAGAAAACGAAAATGAAGAGGAAGAAGAAGAAGAAAATGAAGATAAAGAGGAAGAAGATGAAGAAAATGAAGATGAAGAGGAAGAGGAAGAAGAAGATTATAAAGTTTGGTTAAATAAGGAGTTAAGAAAATACGAGGCTATGTTAGAAGAAGCATCAGCAAGTGAAGAAGAAAGTAGTAGTTTTCCGATGGTGTTAGAAGATGAAATAGGAGAAGGTAGTAGAAGTTCACAAAGGTGGGAAGAGAGTATGGATGAGAACTATATGCAAGAAGATTAGATTTCATTGTTTTATATTTTTTTGTCTTGCTGATTTATATATATATTAATAAATTTTGAATTAAATTCTAAAAATCTTATAAATAATTTATTACAAATACATAATATATTGATTATAAATTTTGTAAAAATAATAAAATATAATATATTTTTATTAAAGAAAAATAAAACTACAAAATATATTGCAAGAGATACTACAAAAATGCCTTAGAGACATCACACAAACACCACATAAACACCATAAAGATGCCACTATACAAATAATAAAAACACCACTGCACACTACACAAACACCATAGAGACATCACATATACACCATAAAGACACCATAGAGACACCACATAAACATCATAAAGACACCATGTAATCAACATAGAGATATCATACAAATGCTATAAAGATACTGTACAAAGAAAAAGTTCTGATAAGCAAAAAAAAGCCCAAACAAAAGAAAATTGAAATTCAAAGCCTAATACATATCAAGAAAGAAACAGCAATACTAACAACAAAAAGAATTCCATCTAGCAGACTGAACAAAAGAAGTACTATAAAAAAGATTACACCAAATTGAATAATACCAACAATGAAAGGAGTACCATGAAAGGAAGTATATCAAGAAAAAAACACCAGAAAGGATGATTCCATTGACGAAAAACCCATTAAACAAATCCTCTAAAACCCCTAAAACGAAACTTTAGTACACAAGCACTGAAATGGACAACTTCTGTAACAAAAGCACCAAGATATGAAAGCACCGAGATAAACGACTCTAGCAACGAGAACCTACAAAGGAAAGTATCTAAAAACTTAAAAAAAAAAGTTAGTATATACAAAGTAAACAAGAAAGGAAAGAAATCCATAGATTGTAATTGTTCTCAAACGAGTTAAAGATTTTGCAAAAAAAAGTCAACTTTTATGGCAAACTTGAAAATTAAACAAAAGTAAGTATTATATTTCTAAGCATAATCGTATTGTATATAGACAATAATGAAACACCTTGCTACCTATTTGAACCGAAAACCTACACAACAAGTGCTATAAATGAAGAAAAGGCACTGAAATAAGCAACACCATCGATGAAGAACAAGCACGACTCCAATGACGAAAGAAGTACCGAAGTGAACGGCTCCAGTACTGTACGTATGATAAAAATTTATAGATGTTGTGTAACTGGTTATTATAAAATAAAAAAAAGATCAAGGGTATAAATTTTATATAGTTGTATGGCGGAGATCAATTATAGCTAGTGCTTGACATGCCATTTTGACCTTATAACAAACTATATTACATTTAGCAAAAAACTATTACTTAACCTTTAAATTCGATAGAACACCAATAAATTCTTTATTTTCATAGAAGCCTAATTTATATCCATCGTAAAAAATGGCATTAATGCGTTCTGCTTCTTCGTTTTTATCAATGTATTCCTCTTCAATTTTTTTTCGTGCTTTGCCAATATTGGTTTGTGAAGAAAAATAGTTTGGCTCTTTAAGTTCAATAATCGTTAGAACATAACCTGTAAATCAGTGAGTTAAATAAGTTTTTTTTTTATTATATAAAATAACAACTTTACTCAGTAAGCGACACGCATTCGCACTAAATTATTTTGAAATCATTAATAATTTCGATTCCCAACCATCTAAAAATAGACCTTTTTTTATTATTCATTTTAACCAGGTACATACGTACGTATATGAGAATGTTGATTTTATTTGGCACCTATTCCGTTGTTTGAAAACAATTTCATTTATATACTATACTGAAGTTGTTATAAACCAAGTTTCACCAACAACTAAGTTATCCTGATCAAGGTTGAGTTAGTTTGATTTATAGTTAGATGTAGATTGTTGGTGAAATGACAGCTTCAAATTTTACCAGGACCAGTACATTTGTTTATATAGGGTTGTCTATATACTATTTGCCTGTGAGTGGTTTGTGATCAAACTATGGTTCTGCAAGTGCTGGAAATAGTGCCATTAAATATAGTGCCTGGCTGCCCAGGCACTATGTTTTAACGGCACCATGCCCAGCACTTGAAGAACCCTAGATCAAACCATTGAACTGTAGTCAGACCTTCCTAAATGTAGTTTGAGACCATGGCTTTTACTAATGTAGCTATTTTTGTTAATATTTGAGAGTTAAAAGAACAATTAGCTAAGCATGAAGCTATTGTGGCAGCCCTATCCAACCGCCTATTGGGGATATCCAAGATCATTGGTAATACTGAGTCTTTTCCTAATTCACGTTTTCACGTTTTTTGAGGACAGTATCTTTTATTTGTTTAACGTTTTTTACTTATTTTTGACGTGAGCGACTAACTTTTTTAACTTTATATAACAAGTGAAAATAGATATTTTATGATTTTATTATTTTTTTATTGATGCAGAAAAGATTGGAAGCGAAAAACTAACTTTCTTTTCTTTATTTTGTCTTCTTATATACATACTTTTAGCTCTTAAATTAATTACATCATAATTCTTATTTCAGCATTTAACTCAACCCTTAATTATTTAATGAACTTGTCATAGCATATTTTACTTCTAATTTTTATTACACATTTTTCATGCGTCGTATTTGATCATTAATGCCACTATAGTATCCTGATTAATTTCGAATAATTAATTACCCGGGTTATACCCATGATTTCGGTAAACACGAACACTTGTCTGCATATTTGCTTATCATATATATGCTATTTAGTTAGCTTAATCTTAATCTTAGTCTTAATTTTAATCTTAATCTTCACTCTCTTCCCACAATCATTTCTCCACGACCACTCCTCTTACTAAGTACGTGGGAACTCAGCAAACTTTGGAGAACCGATCGTGGGTGTGACAGCTATCAAGCAAAAAACTGAGTTTCAACAACAAGAAATTAAGGAATTGCAAGAGCTTATTAAAGATATGACTGCTAAAGGAGAAACTGAACACAAGCTTGACACTAACACCAAAGCTTCTATTGTCTTATTTGATGAAGCAGAAAAAGTAAGCAATAGTGCTGTTTTAGACGCTTTAGATAAAGTCCTAGATCTTAATTTTAACCAAGCCCATTATGATAAGTTCTTTGAAGGAATATTAAATCTCAAATACTGTGTTTTTTTTCTTACCATGAACTGAGAGTAGCTTGTAGGGACCAAACTTTTAACAACATGCATTAGAGAATTATAAAGTCGGATAAGGCTTTACTATATAATGATGTAGTATATAATATTGTAATTAATAAAAAATGCTTATTTCTATCAATATGCTTCCGTTTGGGATTCTAGAATTAATAATCAAATATATATCTGATTTTGGACAAAATAAACGATGTATTCATTTCAAAATAATTGATCTTTAATCACTAATCACTTACTGGTAGTATTAAAAGCCAATGTTATCACCGGGTATGCCTATTTAATTTTTAAATCTGAAATAAGATTTTTTAAGCACCCACTTATCTTCGAAATAAGCTAATTCTGAAACCTCAGTTTTATTTATTTAATTAAAAAATTCGAAATTTACATTTAGTACTTATTTATTTATCCTATTTATTTGCAATAAAAAAAAAACTGATAATTTAAAACATTACATTAAATTAAAAAATATTAAGCTAAGAAACAGTTATTTTTTATTATTATTTTAATAGTTTGCTTTTCCCGATAAAAACTTTCTATATACATACTTCTTTTTTATTTATTCATAGTAGTTTTCTTTTACTTTAAACTGTATAATTAAAGTAGACACAGGTTGAATCAATAAAAATTGGGTGCATACGGAGAAACAAGTTTCCTGCTATGTACCCGATAGTCTGCTATAGATTCGACAAATTTGCTATTATGTTGCCAATATGCTACTGTTATTCAGCAATTATTTGGCGGTCTATGGCAGACTATCAGGTACATAGCAGGAAACTTGTTTCCCTGTATGCACCTAATTTTCATTGATTCAACCTGTGGTAGTTTTCTAATAAATTGATTTGAGTTAAAAAAACTCACTGTTAATAAGGTGCTTTAAAAAAAATACTTTGTTAGTCAATCACTTGAAAATTGAACCATTATAAAGCACAAAAAAAATGGAAACTCCAAATGATAAAAACAAAAGACATCGCATTCAATCACAAGAAAATATGCATAAAAAAAGGGAATCAGAAACTGCTAAAGAATGTGAAAGGTGTTTAAAAAGAGATTGTGAGTCAAGACGTCAGAAAAGAACAAACTGTCAACTAGAGAACAATAATGCCCAGAACCAAGATACTAATTCATTGCATGTAGAATCACTTTCTGTTAATATTAAACAGCAGCTTTCTGAATCTGATCGAGATCTTTTACAGAATTTTTATACTAAGATTAATAAACTTGCAAATAAATTATGTTCTATTTGTAAGGAGTATTTTCCATCGATTAAGCTTATAGGCGTAAGAAAAGAATGTCGTCACTGTTATTATGGTACTAAAGATGTTATAAAAAAATTCTCAGAAGAAAACAATATGGATCCAGGTGATGTGCCTGAAGAATTACAGAGGCTTACTAAGATAGAAGAAATGTTAATTGCACAAATTTTTCCTGTTATTTTGGTGTATTGTCTTTGTGGAGATCAGTATACATACCATGGCAATGTTATTAACTTTCCACAGGATGTATCAGAGTTTACAACTAGACTTCTCCGGCATCTATCATCATTGGATATTCTTGTTATACATTGTTAATCTACAAATAGTATAGAATTTAAAGATTTTAATATTCGTCGTATTAAGGTTGCTTGTGCACTATATTGGTTAAAAGTAAATAAACGTTATTATACTGATATTGCTATTGATGATGAAATATTACGATCCTTACCTGACAATAGACCCATTATTAATCAGCTACTCCAGCTCAAAGATGTAGAGGGTGAATATTTTGATAATATTAATGATGATGCTGAAGAAATTATTACTAGCAACTTTGTTTCTACACCCCTTCCATCTCTTAATGAAGAACATGCTATTGCTAGCACCCTTAATCAAATGCAAGCTAATAATATTCCTCTTATATGGCCAAATATAGATGGAAGTCCTATTAATGAATTTCAAACACCTGGGTATATTGCATGTGCTTTTCCTACTTTGTATCCGACCAGAAATGCAGATCTTTGATCACAACATATTAGAGAAATTAAGCCGGCTGAATACTTTGCACATTTGTTAAAATATAAGGATGGCTGATTTGCTTGCCACACTCGGTGGCGATATTTTGCACTAAATTCACAGATGAGATAGAGAGCTCTACAAGAAAGAAAAATATATGTTAAGCAAAGTTTAAATGAAGAATAGCTTACTATTGAAAAAGGTTAATAGTGATAGTCATATGGCAGATAAAATCATACGATTTGGTGAGTACTTGCATGGAACTCGCCAATTTTGGAACAAAAGACGAATGGAACTCACAGGTATGATTAAGCAATTGGGATCTCATAAGATGATCTTTTTCACTTTTAGTGCTGCTGATTTGCATTGGCCAGAACTTCATAAACTTATGCTACATAATGAGAACCCAGCAACAGAACAAGAGGCAAACAAACAAAGACGCCAAAATCTAATTGACAATCTACATATTGCTGCATAATTTTTCGAAAAACACTTTAAACTATTTTTAGAACAAGTATTGATTCCTAAATAGAACCTTGAAGACTGGTGGTATAGGTTTGAGTAGCAATATCGTGGTAGTACTCATGTACATGGCATTGGAAAAATAAAAGATGCTCCAATTATTGAATAGAAAAGAATAAAAGAGAATGAAGAGTTAATATGTAATATAATACAATATCTGGATTCATTAGTCACTACAATTAACCCTGGACTTGATGCTCCCATACCTAATGATATCCTTGCCAAAAACTCTATGATAAGATACACGATGACTTGCAAGATTATATAGAATTAGTTAACAAGCTGCAATGATATACGCATTGCAGTTCTTTATATTGCCTTCGAGTAAACAAAAAGGCCAACAATATTGCAGGTTTGGATATTCTAAAGAAACTACAGAAGCTACATACTTACATGATAACAATGGCCAACCTGAGCTAATTACGACAAGAAATAATCTTTATATTAATCTACATAATCAACTTCAGCTTCAGGGCTGGCATGCAAATGTTAATTTAAAACTAATTCTTAATATAAATGCTGCTCTACAATATATATCTAAATTGCAAGTAAATCAGAGCTACGGTCTGCTGCTTTCTCAGAAATATTAAATCAAATTCTTAGCAATAATAAACCCAATAATTCATTTCTTGGTATATTTCAAAGATTATTGCTACATACTATTGCAGAGCGTGATATTTCTGTACAAGAAACATGTCATATCCTTCTTGGCATTCCACTTTACCACTCAAGTCATTGATTTATTAGTTTAAATCTTAACAAAGATGCTCCAAGATGGCTTTGTGGCACTGGAAATAACAATAAAACAAGTTTCTTAGTAAATAATAAAACTAAACAAACTGTACAATCACTTCTTCAAAAGTATTAGAGTCGACCTATTGAACTTGAAGACCTTTCACTTTTTCAGCTTTATTTAAAATATAATTTTTGAAATGGTCAGTAGAAACAATGCAAGCTTGAAAACATCGTACATATTTGGCCATAACCATCACCTCAGTATAATAGAACTCAATGGGAAGATTTTTGTCGTGTAAAAGTTTTGCTTCATGTTTGCCATCATGATTTTAATCAATTAACTGAAAACAATACTGCTTCATGGTCAGACCTCTTTAATAAATACCATGTAGTAATCGAAAATGGACCAATTGATTTACTTAGCCCTCCTGTAGATAACTTGGAAAATAAACTTGTTAGTGAAGAAAGTGATGATAAACAAAATGATAAATGTGAAAGAGAGATACTGCATAAATAGATGATCCTATCAGGAATGGGTCCAAATGCAATTATTGAAAGCTTTTCTAATTTAGGATTATGCAATATAGATCGAAATTATGATTAGGTTGGCAATGTTATACAGCATTATCCCACTTTAAATTTTGCAGAAATGGCTAACTTTATATAACAAGCTCGTTCTTTATACACTATTAATAATGAGGACTCAATAATTAATTTTGTTATAGATAGCCATACATTAAATGAGAAACAAATGGCAATATTCAAGTGAATTGAATCTCATTATAGTACCTTAATAGCAAATACTATCCAAATTAAACCACTCAGAATTATAATAATGGGAACTGCAGGAACAGAAAAATTACACTTGATTAAAATTATTCAAGGTCGTTTACAAGAAATGGCAAGAAATTTTGATAATAATATCAAATCACCTATACTTGTACTTGCACCAACTAGTGTTGTGGCATTCAATATCCATGGGACAACAATTCACTCAGCACTTTCTATACCGATAGAAAGTACTAATTTTGATATAGATGGTAAAAGACTAAAGCAGCTTCAGAAAAGACTAGATGGTATAACCTATTTTGTCATTGATGAAAAAAGTATGGTAGGACGTCGGATACTTGCATTAATTAATATACGACTATGCCAAGCATTTTCTGAATATAAAAATCAGCCCTTTGGTAATCAATCTGTAATTCTGGTTGGAGACTTTGGTCAACTTCTCCTAGTGCTTGATGAACCTATGTATTCACAAATTACTCGACATGATTCATTATCAAATGATAGTATTGTTACATATAAACAATTTCAGGAAGTCTATAAACTTAATATGATTCAGCATCAATCAGGTGGTTCAGAAGATCAACGTAATTTCAGAGATATTCTGCTACGACTATATAATGGTAATTCTATAGTAGTTGACTGTAAAGTACTTGCTATACGCTTTATTAATTCATCAACTATATTACCTTCAGAACATGAACAATTCTTAGATACTATCTATATTTTTCTTCGCAAAGCTGATGTTAATGAACTTAATATTGACAAGCTTAAGTTCTTGAATTGTTCTATTGCTAGAATAAATACTGTTCATACAGGTGGTGTTAAAGCATATAAGGCTGATTCTGATTTAGCAAAAGGTTTTGAAACGCAATTACTACTAGCAAAAGGTGCATGTGTTATGCTTAGGGCTAACTTATAGACAAAAGTAGGATTAGTAAATGGTTCAATAGAAATTGTTCAAGAA